TTTTTTTTTTGGAGAACGGACGAAAATCGGTGCGCGCGCAGGATGTCATCCATAAAAATAAAAAAGTGTGGCCTTACCTTAATAAAGGTGAAATGAGTTTTTGCCACAAATTAAGGGGTTTTTGTATTATAAAACATTAAGAGATATGCAGTTTCAAGCTTAGGCATTTTTATTTCATTTTCATATTCCCGTACTGCTTTGAAAACGAGGGTTTCACTTAAAAAAACACTTCCTGAGGCAATGCAGTAGCTGCAAAAAGTATGCTTGACACATACAAAGCTAACTGGCTCATAATATGAAATGCACGAGATGTATAAAACTGTATATCATTTTGAAAGTAGACGTGAAATGCATGAAAATAATACAAAGAAATAACTTGAAGCTGTTGTAAAGACAGGTTGCAGCACAAAGCTACACAATTCATTTGTCTTCTAAACAAAGCAAAAATTTAAATTGTCACTTAATCGACAAATGTTTACCCAGCTGTAGAGGTATGGCATGAAACGTACAGCTTATGTCTTCCAAAACATAACAGTACTAATTGGGCTATAGGCTGTTTACAATCACAGTATTTTGACAGTTAAACAGTCAGTATCCTCCTCTTCCCCTGCCACCACGCCCTCCTCGATATCCGCCCCCACCTCTGCCCCAGTTACCACCACTCTGAGGCCGATCACCTGACCATCCCCCTTGGACACGCCCACCTCTGCCACCACGCCCACCTGCAGCTAAAATGAAAACAAAACAGAAAAATTGCAATGAAATATGTTTATTTGGTTCAGAATTATAATATCCTTATTTTACAGAGGAAAAGATTAAAATTCAGTCCAGACAATTATGTCCAGTGCTTTTTATCAGAAGCAAACAATAATGGGAATTTTCACTTTGTAATTTTCATCTCAAGTATGTGCTTACTTTGTGGTCTTTGTCCTCTGGGAGCTTCTTGTCTCTTTTGAAAAAATGGCATGTCTGGTGGTGGGGGCTGCAGCTCCCAAGCACGACCACCTCTGTCTGGCACCTGCCAGAGAAAATAACAAAAAAACTTAAGTCAATCATTTTCCAAGGAATCCCGATAATCATAGAAACAAAAACTGGAGTTTAAAACTGATCCAAAACTGACTCCACATGGACTTTTTTTCTTGCAATTCAAATCCCATTTTAACCTATGAGTCAGTGACCTCAATATTTAGGTTCAAGATAAATGTTAAACTATAGTAAGAAAATGCTTTGTGGTAAAAGGAGGCTTGTTTGTAGAGAGACTTTATGGCTGTAGAATAAAGCGTGTTCAGACATATTAGAGTGTTTAACAAGTGGTAGCAGAGCTAGATTAAAAACAATTGTGACTACAAGCATGGCCACAAGAGTTAATATTCCCATTTTCTGCGAGGAGAAAACATATGACTTATACAAGCAGGAATTAGAAGTGTGTTCAGACATATTAAAAGCGTGTTCAGACATATTAGAGTGTTTAACAAGTGGTAGCAGAGCTAGATTAAAAACAATTGTGACTACAAGCATGGCGACAAGAGTTAATATTCCCATTTTCTCCGAGGAGAAAACATAAGACTTATACAAGCAGGAATTAGAAGTGTGGGACAGCATTACAGAGTTGGCTAAAGCAAAAAGAGGTGTAGCAGTAGCCCTGAGCTTGCCAGAGAAGCACAAAAACATCCGAGAAAAGGTATTTGATCAGTTGACACTTGATGACCTAAAGCAGGACACTGTGTTTCAAATGTTGCTGACATTTCTTGACACTCACTTAGTGGAAGATGACCTCGCTGATTCATTATAAAAGTTTGAAACATTTGAAGACTATGAGAGACAGGAGGGACAGACAGTGAGCGAGTATATCGTCATATTTGACAGTAAATCCAAGAAAGTTGAAAAGAGATACATTCTACAAGCAGTACGTAGGAGAAACTTTAGTTAACTTGTAAAAATAATTAACTTTACAGGCATTCATGCTTTATCATTCAAATATCAAGGACAACAGGCTCATTATTGTTTTCATTAGTTTATTTCTTAATTACTACCTAAAAAAAAAAAAAAGAAATTATAGTTAGTGTCAAACTATAGTTAGAAAATGCTCTCCGGTAAAAGGAGGCTCGTTTGTAGAGACTTTATGGCGGTAGAATAAAACAAATTCAGACATATTAGAGTGTTTTTAAACATACATGTTTATAATATGAGAGCATGCCTTTAGAGATATTTGAAATCTATGACAGTCGATTATCACAACTGAGGAAATGATACATCATAAAGGTAAACATACAGCAACTACACAATAACTAGTTGGAAAAAGAACACTTACGGAACCCATTATGATTTTGTTGATTGCACACTTCATCCTGGCATCACCACTGCTCGTCTTCTGGATTGATATCAAATCTGAAAAGCACATATACCAATGTGAAATTTCAGTTTCTTCCATTTTTAAATAATGGGTTGTAAAAGGAATAACCTTCTATAATGAAAGAAAAAGAAATGTGTTAAACTACTGAAACCGGAATTTTCTTTAGCCTAGCTTGATGTTTCATGATATATACTTCAGCATTTGATAAAAATACATAATAAAAGTTATCATAGTTTAAATCAATGAACAAAATGTGAATACCATCTCTTGCAGCCAATATTTCTGCTATTCCAAGTTCCTTTCTAGCTGACAAATGCTTTCTAAGAGGTTGATATGCAGCAGCCACTTCGTTCTCTTTTGACTGAAATAATAAATAGTTTAAATCGATGATACCATAATTGTAAGAATCTGAATTTCACATTTATAAAGTACTGTATAAGAAATACTCTTTTGTTGAATAAAATCAAAAATCTTTCAAAATTTGCAATTTTTCAAATAAATCATCTATCCAAAAGTCCTATGCCTTTGACCTCACATTAAAACTATGATTGCTTTATAAATGAAAATTATTAAACACAAGCCATAATACAGTACTTTCATACCGTTAGATTACAGCCAACCTGGATGTAGGCCTAGATGTTGACACCCACTGACTGCTAGGTGGTATAGCGGCAAGGACCCTCTTATGTCAGGTAGATCGACCCCCCCTCCCTATTCATGGGTGGCTGGTGACGGCTGATGTTGATAGCCTCTCGTATCTTATACGGGAAGTCAGATATGACTCAGATTCAAGGATCTTAGTTGAATTCCAGTCAATACTGTGGCAGGTGTCTATTACAAGTTCAGAAATGGCAGAGCTGGTATTGCCTGCAGTCACTGATTTTCTGCCGTAAGTTAATGGTATATAAGTATTTTGGCATGTGTTTGATAATTCTCATTTATGATCCAATTACCAAGCTAATGAACATTTTTGCTCATTTATGATTGCTTATTTATCATGATACATCTTCTCAACCTTACCTTGGCCCGGTCTGACCATTTAAAAGATTGAATGGTTACATCCAAGCGAGTGAGAAGCATCTCTCTCCTCAGTCCATATTCTTGCTGCAGAGCTTCAGAAATTGACTGAATGGACTGCCATTGTTTCTCGGTCAGTTTAGCTTTCAGAAGAGGTTTACCCATGTGACTAGGAGAAACTTTGCCTATTAATTCCCTAACCTGACAAGCAAACATAAGCACTGATTACATACCGGGTACAAATATCTTATTATATTCAACTGTAGCTGTTAGCAATTACTGCAGTAAACCTTCAATATTCCAAAATTGCACAGAAAGTACAGTTAAAATTGATATTTTAGTTTTTTTCCAATATTTAGGATGGACTTTGTTACGCAGTTTTCATACCTTCTGTTCCACTTTGCTGAAAAGCTGGAATGGTGTTATATTAGGAGGTGGCTTTGGAAATCCTAGGGCAATTAACATACTCTTCAGATGGCGGGCACTGTCACTTTCAGCCTTGATATAACATAGAATATATAGAAACACTTATTCATTTGAAGAAATTGATCGTGAAAATCAACTAGACAGTAACACTGGCAAACAATGGTCATTTAACAATGGTAATAGCTGAAATTATTCTACAGTTACAAACATCTGTGAATGTGCATGATCCTAATAAATGACAAAAGTTTGTCTCCAAATGTAAGGCTTAATTTTGACTGGTGGAGAACCCTGTAAGCCTAAAACCACTAAAGTGGTGATGACATAAGAGACATTTGATCACAAAAAGATTGGATTTAGTTGTAGGGAAAGACAATACCCCCTCAAAATTACTACTGGGAATTGTCACAAAGAAAATGCACTTTAGAAATTGAATGCAAATGGTGCCAATACATGTACCTCATTTTCAACTTCCATTGGAGAAGTGGAATTAGAGGAAGACAGCAAGCTAGGCTTGTTTACTGCAATCATCCTGACTGCTTGGAGTTCTGTGCAGAGAAAATCTGAGAAAAAGGTATAATGAACTGTTATCTATTTATTGTATTTGCATTTAAGCAAAGTGACACGATAAGCAAAGCAAAAAAACCTAAATAGAGAAAATGCTCAATTGAGAAATTTTTTAAAATATGATCAAAATGTGAAAATCACTAACCCCTGAACCCTTTTTTTTTTTTTTTTTTTTTTTGGAGATAAAACTTTTGGTTGGTTTTTATACTTTTGAAGATTACATGTCCAGGACACAGATACCATGAAATGCCTCTATTAAATTTGCTGGGCAGTATTGTCTTTCAACTCAGAAATGGTTCTCATTTTACCTAGCAATAATAGTCGGTTTTCTTTAGTTGCAAGCCTTTGACTTAAAGGCCCTTCTGATAATTCCTTGTGTGGACAACCTGGAAACGAAATAAAAAGGAATCAACTACATGAATACATGCAGTAATTCTTACTCTAATTTTAAAAATACCTATCAAATATAAAGAATTTTCACTTTTAAATAAAATGAATGACATCTTTTTTCTTACCTCCTTTATTCAAATATGTTCTCAAACTATGAGAATATTTCGTCAAAATGTCACCAATTTTTAACATTTAGCTAGAATACTGTTTTTTGTTTGTAAAGCAGAAGTATACCCACCATACTCCCTTAAAAACCCACTGAGCTCCAGCATAAAGTGTTCAACATCGTCCTGACCTTCAGATGAAACATTGCCAATTAGTTACAGTATGCATATTCACAAGAATAAAGAAAGAAAAAAAAATTTAAATGTTTCCAAAAATTGTACATTACACCAGACTCAAATCTATTGTTAGCATTAGTATAATTATAATATAGTGCATGCAATGTCAACAAACTGACACATTAATAACAAAAAATCAGTTTTGAAAACATGATGTTAGTTATCATCATCATCAATATCATCATTCAGAGCCTAAAGTGTTCCACTGGTGGACAAATGCCTCATCATACTTCATCCAGTGTATTTTGTCTTGGGTTTCAGACTTCAATTTTTTATTTTTTTAGTACTCGTCTAACTCTATCACGAAGCTTTTTTTTTTGTTGTTTGTTTCCTATGTGCATATAATATTTACACTGGATACTGGTTACATCACTACATTAATTTCTATTACACAAGCTGTACCTTTGATAGCATTAACCACATCATCAAGTTTGCAAAATCCACCAATTTCCTTGGTCAGCCATTCTACAAGCTGGGTGTATTCTGCTGACTGTGGGCCACCCTCTATAGCCTGTCTAAGCCCATTTTCATCTAACAGAGGACCCTCGTAACTAAAATAATGTGTGAAATTGATTAAAGTTAAATATGAAAACATTATCAACATCTTATATTTTCAACAGAATGAGTAATGATATTATCTTTAATAAGAAAAGTATCCTTTTCAGCGATCTACAAAGCTCATTCAGTCCAATAAGTTTTATCATTCTATGTACATTGTTTTACATTCTATTGTATTGTCTGATTTATTGTACTAAAAAATGAACATTTCACAAACTTAAAAAAAATATGGGGAAATTTTACCAATTTGTTTGAGATGAACTACTCATTTAGTATTTGTTTGTTTCCAGAAAAAAAGTACTTATATTTCTCGACTGTTTCAGTGTTCAGTGTAACTGTGTGTCCTACCTCCTATTTTGAGGCATATCATTCACAAATAAAGTCAACAAAGTTCACGAACCAATTTCATAATGTTTTACTTTTTTTATTCCAGTTATGCAGTAGTGTAAGCACTCATGCAAGCCACTCCATATAGCTACGGGAGTTTCTAACACAGGGTGTTGCCCATTAAGCCAATATTATGAGGCCTTGCTCGTGTAGCACGAAAACTAAGGCAAATGTTTGGGGAAATGGTTTTTTGTCC